TATTCTCCTTTTTTGATCGAAAGGTTAAATATCCAAGTTAATGGCGGACCAACAATGTCCGCGGATATTTTAAGAGCTTTAGCAGGGATGTTATCTAATCCTGTGGATTTTGAAATTTTGAGACTACGCAATTGATATATTACTTCGTCCTCGTTAATTTCAGAAATTTGAAAAAAAGATTGGAGTCGGTAGTAGGCCTAGAATCTCCGCGAGCAAAAGAATTTGTGTTGAGGGAATTATCTTCAATTTCAGCTGCAAGTTTTGCCCCGATATTGACAAAGAAATCATTAAAAGCCTCAGATTTCAATTTATTGTCTGAAATGACAGAATTATCCGTTTTAAGTTGGGATATCGTGTTTGATTTCACATTTTTACCCATGAGGCGGTTAATTAAATTCCAACTTTGCTTTATGTCTTTGGACTGAGCACAATCTTCTATTTTATTGCAGAAATAGTTTCTTTTAGCTTTAATTAGTTCAGCGTTAACTTTGTTTCGTAATTCCTTATATTTTGTCCAATGACTTTGAGAATTATGTCTAACCGCCTTTATTTTGTGGAAGTCTCTTGATCTCATTATACCCTTGATGTCTAAAGAAATCCAAGGGAGAGAATTTCCACGAGTTCTCATACGTCTAAGGGGAGCGTGTCGATCAAGGACCTGGAGGTATAGTGATTTCCATACCTGCCAGCATACATTAGAATTGTCATGTTGGGCAATGTTCTCCCACGGCATCTGTGAAAGATCCGTAAGAAAATCATTGGCATTGAAATTTTGAAAGTTACGAATATGTTTAACCTTTTCCCGTGATTTGGGAATACAATGTTTTCTAATAGCGAAAATCATACTGTGATCAGAAAGTCCAAGGTGTATGACACCAGACTTTGAAATATTTTCCTCTTTATTTGTCAGAATTAGATCAATTAGAGTTGCTGATGTTCCAGTAATCCTTGTGGGTTCATCAATAAGCTGATCGAACTGATAAAGTGATGAAAGGAACAGTAGCTTGCGAGTTTAAGACTCACAAGGAGATTTCAAGATATCACAGTTCAAATCACCCATAATTATTACCTCTCTATTTTCTATATCGCTATTTCTTAAAAAAAGCCTCATATTCATCAAAAAGAGCAGATTGCGAGTTAGGAGCTCTATACCAAGTGCTTACTAAAAATGACTTATTGTGAGGTTTACTAATTTCAATGCATATCATTTCTAGTGAGTCAGTTACTAAGTCATTTCGTTCAGAAAACGGTATAGAGTCACGAACATACAATAGTACTCCCCCACCAGATCTAGATCGGTCATGGCGAATGTGAAAGTAACCAGCGATTGCTATTTCACTATCAGGCACCGAATGGTTTAATTTTGTCTCGTTTATAGCGAGAATATCAACTGGCATGTTTTGCATGATCAAGCGAAGCTGATCAATGTTTTTCAACAGGCTGTTAATATTCAAGCACGCTAATCGTAAGCCTTTAGAAGACTCTAACTCATTAAATAAATTGTTAAAGTTACCTTGTATCACAAAAAGTTACCTTGGTCACACCGATTACCTATTTGGTTCGTTGTCTCCGAGAAGAGTACTGTCCGATACATTGAGTCCGATATTATTTCCTTCTGCGGGTGCGGGTGCCCTTGTCTGGAGGGACAATTATCTTTAACAGTTCTCCAAGTTTCAGAATTGCCGATCGCTGAAAATCCTCGTAGTTTTGCCTTCGTTTACTTGGAGAGGTTGATGCACTGCCCCCCTTGAGAAATTTGATAAAATGGACTGCTAGAATAGCCGAGCCCTTCGCATTTAGATGAAGCTTACTTCCATTTAAGCATGTGTCATCTATAGTCGTATTGTCAATAAACAAGACATCCAGTTGCATACAAATATGCTGAAGCTCCTTATTAACCTCATCAATCTTTTCAGACATAGCAACATCTCGCCGCGCCGTTAGGCCTGATAGACCAATTTTCGAGTAGGGAAATTGTGACTTTACTTTCGCAGCAAGCTTCTCAATTTTCTGAGCACATTCAGAAGCAGATTTTAGAGGCAGGTTGTTTGTCCCAGCATGTACAATTACGTGAGATGGGATTGCTTTTAGACTATCGAAATTGATCTCCTTTTCGATTTCTTCGGCAGTTTTTCCTGGGATTCACTCAGGGCACAGAATACTACACAGAATACTACACGGTTTTTCCTGGGACTCACTCAGGGCACAGAATACTACACAGAAGTCGATCCATCTCCATTGTTTTTAGTGTAAGCTCTATTCGTCATGATTCGTCACTCAACAAGTACCGTAAACAGAAGCAATCACCCCCCTGGACGTGCACCATTTTTAGTATTTCCAGGGGGGTGACTGCTTCTGTTTGCGGTACTTGCTGAGTGACGAATCATGACGAATAGAGCTTACGCTAAAAACAATGAAGATGGACTTCTGTGTAGTATTCTGTGCTCAGGGAGTAAAGACGCCGACGTTAATGAAGGTAATTTTGATTTAAATATTGATGTATTGTTCGCTTTAAATTGCTTTAAAAACTGATCGTTGCGTATAATGAAAAAAGCATCGATGCATACACTGTATTTTTATTAATTACCCTTTTTTATTATTCTCATACAAGAATTTGAAATCATTTTATTTCAAACTCAACGGTTTATGAGAAAAGGCATTTTAGTTAATAAGTGAACATTTTAAAACGTTCTGCGAAGCCGAAGCGTTTGTGGTTGAATTACTTTACATTAAATTTGAAGCATATATATTACGTCTAATAACGTCTATTGATAATTTTGTAATTAAAAATGATATTTTTGGGGGATTTTTCAATTTTAATTAAAAACATTCTTATTTCTTAATAACATGATCGTTTTACACGGCTAAAAACGCACAGGTTGTTCCAAGTTGATATCAACAGGCGTGAACAATGTTGTGCGGCACACTATGAACAAGTTGTCAACCATGTTGTTCCAAGTTGTTACAGTTGAACAATGCTGTAACAACATGTTGACAATACTGTTTATAGTGGGCCGCACAACTTGTTCACGCCTGTTGATATCAACCTGGAACAAGTTGATTTTCTCAATTTTTACGCGTGTACCATCATACCATGACAATAACCTGAAGTTCAGGCCCTAATCACAGAATAGGGCCTGACACAAAACCTATCTGAAGTGTGGGATTCCCGTCCATCTGGTGGACGGGAAATCTGATTGGTTGATCAGCATCATGAAGGATTTTGATTGGTTGCAAGTTTACATAAACAACAGTTTTAAAAATAGCTCGGTCAAGGCGACAATTAATAGAGGGTCCTGAAGGGGTAAAATGGGAACTGGGATTGATCTATTTTTAGACTGGGAAAAGGGATTTGGGTTGCTGGGACTGGGATTTGGCCACTGGGAATGGGAAATGAAGTCCTCAAAAATGGGAATGGATTGAGGTAATGCGAGTCAATTCCCAATTTTTCTGCGTTTTGAGTATTTTAAAATACAATTTTGATCCGTTTTTGGTGTCTTTGGTCATGATTTTTGTTGTTAACTATGTTATTCACAGCGCTACCTGCGAACAGGCATACTCTGGCGCCCGCAATTCTGGGTTTTCTGATTATGCGTGTCTCAGAATGCTGCAAATGCCATTTCCGGGATTCAAATTAAAAAATTGTCCGTGCCTTTGGCACGAGCACCCCCCCCCCTAATATTTTATAAAGTGTCCGCCACTTGCTTAAAAGGTCTTAAAACTGTTTATTCTACCAATAAATAAAAAGTTTTTTATTGCCTGGGATTTCAATAACTGGGACTGGGATTTCTAATAAAAATCCAACTGGGACTGGGATTTTGCCAAAATTTCAGGTGGGAAATGGGATTGGGACCCCTCCTTCAGGACCCTCTTAATATAAAGGTCAAACGCACGTACAAATTCCATTATCGATTTCTTCGAATTTCGTTTTCTTTTATGATTTATGGCAGAAAATAAATTAAACAAACAGTATTTTGAAAGGGCTTTATCAAAATCTTGGACGAATTTTGGACACATGACGCCGAAAGAACAGCCAAACTAAGTCATGTATTCGAAAGCTTGTTGTTGACAGCCAAGATGTTCTGCCAACTGGCTTCGCCGGCAAAAGTCTTATTTTTAATATCAGGTCCTAGCTTTAATCAAATAATGTCAAGTCTGAGCTACATCGCCTTCTTCGTGGTACGATTGAGAATTTCATTGTTGCTGTTGTTAGCCCGTTTTAATAAAGTATATCCCTAATATCCGCGTCCAGCAAGTTGAGACCTTGAGAAAGCTTGCCAGTCAAGCCATGCACAGAACTGACTAATTAAATCTTTGTATGAATCTTTAATTATATAAAAGTACCTTGAATTTTTAAGTTTAATTATAAAGCAAAATGCACACTCTGCGGACATGTTCATGAGAATATAATTTTTTTGTGTAACGAAATCTACAACACTTGTCAATCATATTGCATGTTGCGTCTAAAAATAACATGTGGGCGTCCCACGGTCTAGACAGGTTTTGTGTCAGGCCCTATTTAAAATTAGGGCCTGAACTTCAGGTTACTACTGCTCGGTCTGACAATTTGGAAAATTTGGTAAGACAGGTTGTTAATCATCCCAGTTTCCAAGATGCTGTTAATAACAGTACTAGTCAGCGTGTAAATGAAAGTACTTCAAGCAGTAGCAGTGAATCTCATACTGATGGAAGTTGCGAGTCTTCGTAAAAGCGTTCGGTAAGAAACGCCTGCCTCTCTTGCAACCTCTACCCAAGATCGATGAATGTCGTACAAACCAGATATCATTTGTGGCGGTACATGAAATCTTGGTCTGCCAGCATGTTCAATTTGTTCGACAGGGCACACAAATCCCAGTTCCAAATGGTAATCGCGGTGCATAAAACAAAGTTCCTGCACGTTTTCGTACAAACAGTTGACTTGACGATGAACAGTAAGCAAGAGTTCAACCAACTCCTCGTTGACTCTCATTTCAGTCATTTGTTGGCATTGATCGATGACAGCTTTAATAACATGGATGTGATCATCCAGTCGTCTTTCAAAGAATTCCAAGACATTGATATCATTACAATGAAGAGTCCGCTGAGCCTGGTTGTAAAGTGAGGGAATCTCCTCAAGAAAAAACTTGTATAAATCGATGTCTGCGTTTTCCGCCATTTTAACTATTCCCACCCAGATAGCGTTTTGGCGCGTGCGCCTATCATTCATATGCACTCCGCTGACCTTGCAAAACCGGCGCAGTAGCCGTAAATATTTTTTTCGTAGCCGTAAATATTTTTCGTAGCCGTAAATATTTTTCGTAGCCGTAAATATTTTTTAGTAGCCTTAAATAATGATGTTCCGATATAAATTTGTGTAGGTAACCATAAGTATTTTTGTAGACGTATATATTTTATTTATAAAATATTGTCATTTTTGGCACCTTATACAAGGCTATATTTTCCACATTTTACAACATTTCGCAACCAAATTTTGTAATTTTACTAATTTTAGTATGCTCTTCCAAGCTGTTGTGATTTATTTGCATCTCCTTACCTAGTTTTAAAATTAGTCTATAATGGAAATTGTCTATTACTTTTACACAGTGACAATGACGTCAAATGAACACGTAGCTGGTAAAACGCGTACGTGCCATTACGCACGGGTTTTTAACAACTGAATTAGATATTACCGGAGAAACTAACCAATCAGATTTCGCCAAAAATCGCTGGACCAATCAGGAGGTCCCTGGTTGACCCTTCGTTTTCAACCACAACAAACTCATGCTACCCCTGCAAACAACCAGATTTTATATGCTACTTTTTATCGGAAACAGAAAGACTGTGCTGGCTTTTTGAGACCATTGACACGCTTGTCGCAGCTGGTTTTAGCCGAAATCTTTCAGGAATTGTAGATTTTGAAGGTATGAATATGCATTTTGTATTTGTAGTCTTTGTACGACTCAAATTTTGTTAAAATTGTGGGAGATGTAATTTTCTCTGGTGTTTTTGTTTATAAGTGTACGTATAATTTGACTGACCCAGAGGCCTATACTATAGTGGATTGAAATCCGTATTTGCTTTAAACTATTTTGCAAACATTTAACGGTTTTTGTCAAGTTTATTTCAACTATAAATACAGTTACGTGTCTTCTGAAAACCGTAAATTTAGTGCTAATATTTTACATTTGGAAAATTTATAAATACAGTATCAAGTTGCCAAATAGTCGTGGATTTATATAATAACTGCTTATGTTTATATTATATTATATTTATAATAGCCACTGGGAAGTATTTTTAAACACGCAATATATCCCCATAAGTTCTGGCTTTATAGAACTGCTTCGTTCTTTTAAAATCTGTTTACTTTTAGTTCTGATTGACTGATTCATGAATCAAAAGCTGTGTTTACATATATCACATTTGCAAATAAGTACATTGGCATTTGTTTCTGGCGTTTTTTCACCAGTAGCATTCTGCAATATCCAATTTTGACCAATAGCATTCTGTAATATCCAGCAAAATGCCTTCCTGCACACAAGCTTATGACACTAGACAATTTCATTTGTCAAGGGGAGAGCTTTGATGACATTTCTATGATGGTATTTATATAGGGTCAATCCCATTAGTTTCTTGACTCCGTTTGCACGGTATGGGACGAATTCGGCCTTTTTCGCGGAACCGGCCGAATTTGAGACCCCCTAACAGGATGAGTTCACATGTAAACAGGCGAAAATTAATTAAAAGCCTAGGACAAATTTCAGCCCAGTCCCAAATTGTCCAGTACCATGTAAACAGGGTCTTAAGAACAAACCATACTTTGCAATACAATGAAACATGCTGAAATCTTGTTGAGAATTACAGTGAAATATGAGTATAACTGGAATGCAGCTACCTTCACAATTAGCCAAATTTGACCCTCATGCCGACACACATGTTTATATGCCTAATCCGATTCTCTCGCAAGACCATGCAGTTCACTGGAGCAAGCGCCTTGCTATTATTAGAAAAAAAACTAAAAGTAAACTCTACCAGGAATTTTATCTGAATAAATGCATTATTTGATAGAAAGCTTTGAACACTGTTAGTTAAAAAGCTTTTTTGTACTGGTTTTCAAGAATAAATATTCATGTTGATTGACTGTGCCCTTCGCATGTGTGAAAAGACTTGGACTAGCCTTTCAGTTTAGCTTCAAATTTCCCATTGGAGGTAGCGTGGAGGGACCACAGACCCCTCATTCCCCCGGGAGACCCTCACTGGTGGTTCTTTGGGTGAAAAGCCAGATTAGATTTTCATCCACCTCTGTGTAAATGAAATGCTTGGATGGTGTGAAGGTAAAATTGTAGTTGACTGAAAATATGAAGACAAGGAGATTAGTTAACGTAATATACAGTACATATATATGAAGTACGTACCATATTCAATACTGTTCAACCCAGTCACAGAATAGGAAGTTATACCAGAAGCGTAACTCGAGCAAGTATTTGTCCGCGTTTTTACAAGCGATTCGTCATCAATCACGCCATCCTGGCTAGTACAACCGGCACTTTGTACCTATCAAATCCTGATAAAA